CCACTATACCAAACTGTCTCTCTCTATGACTCATGTCTAAAAATAAAATTTTAATCTTTCCCTCTTAAAACAAACTTCAATCATCAATATGCCTTCCTTTCTAGTACCTGCCAAACTGATGTTTTTCCAAGAGTCCCCCAAACAGTTTAGCTTCTCTAAGTAAATTCTTCAATTAAATGACAAGGGTATATCAAATATTTAGTACCACACGCTAGACACTGTGCTAACTCCTGGGGACACAAAGAAAAAACCAAAAGTCTCTGCCTTAAGAAGCTTACCCTCTAATGAGGAAACATGTATTTAAATGGATACCTGTAAAATCCAGAGTAGATGGAATGAACCTTGAAGAAGAACACAATAGCAGCTGGGGTGGGAAGGGAGAGAGAAAATCAAGAAAGGTTTCCTGTATAAGGTAGCATGAGCTGAATCTTGAAAAGAACCAGGGATTCTAAGAGGGAGACATGAGAACAGAGTGCATTACAAGCATGGGAGACATCCAGTGACAGATATGGAGAATGGAGAGGACATGTCGTGTGTGAGGAATAGGAAGTAAGGCAGTACAGCTAAACTATAATGAATGTGGAGAAGAATAAGACGTGGGAAAACTGGAAAGGTAAGAAGGGGCTAGGTTATAAAAAGCTTTATATGACAAACAAAGGATGCTATTTAATCCTAGGGAGCGTCACTGGAGTTTACTGAGTAAGGGGGCAACATTAGTGATTTAAGAAAACCATTTTGGAGAAAAATTTTAAACTCAAAAGCATATGGAAGTGATTGCTGATAAATCAAAATAAATTAATAAAAAAAAAAATAAAACCACTTTGGTAACTGTAGAAAATAGGCCTAAAAATAAAAATTTTATTTTCAGACATGAATCATAGAGAAAGACAGTTTGATATAGTGGATAGAGATCTGGCCTCAGAATACCTGGTTCAAGTCTCACTTCAAATGACTTGCCCAGAGTCAAATAGCTACTGCTATGTGTCTGAGGCTGGATTTGAACTCAGGTCCTCCTGACTCCAGAGCCACAGTGGGAAGAGGCTTGAAACTGGAAGGCCAGTCAGAAGGTTATTACAAAAGATTATTACAGGAAAGGGGTGATGAGGGACTGTACTAATGTGGCAGGTGTATGAATAGAGAAGATAGGAAAGATGTGGGAGATGTTATAAAGATAGAAACAACAAACTTTCATAACTGTGAGGCGGAATGAGGAATAAGAGTTAAAGCAAAGGCCATGAACCTGGGTGACTGGAAGGATGGTGGTATCCTTGATAATCATGACAAAAGAATCCTAGTTTTGGATATGTTGAGTTTGGAATGCCTAAGGGACATCTAGTTTAAAACATATGGTTGGTAATGCAGGATTGAAGTTCAGGACAGACTAGAGCTAGACATATACATCTAGGAATCATTAGCATAAACAGGAGTTGAGATCACCAAGTATGATAGTGTAATGGGAAAAGAGAAGAGGGTTGAGGACAGAGACTGAGGGTACATGTCAGATCCAACAAGGAGTAAAAGGGGCAGTCCAGCATGCAGAAGGACAATCGGGACAGAACTATGGGAAAATGCAGAAAGTATCCAGGAGGAGGTGATCAAGAGTGTCAAATGCTGCAGAGAAGTCAAGGAAAACTGGGATTGGGGAAAAAACCATTAGATTTGGCAATTAATAGATCACCAGTAACTTTGGAGAAAGTAGCTTCAGCAAAATGATGAGGTCTGAAGTCAGACTGCAGAGGGCTTAGAAGAGAATAAGAGAAGAAAATAGGAGGCATTCAGTATACATAGCTTTGTCTAGGAATTTAGCTGAGGAAGAGAGATACACAGGACAATAACTAGAGAGGATGGGAGGATCTAGTGAGTTTTTTAAGAATGGAGGAACCAAAAAAAAAAAAAAAGGAATAGAGGAACCATGGAAATGTTCATAGGCAACAGAGAAGGAACCAGCAAAATAGAGATCCAAAATCATTTAAGATTAATCTGCAAATAGAGAAACTGGGAAATGTTAGCAAAGGCAGTCTTTTAGAGAAGATGGAAGCAGTATACGATGAGAGATTGGCCACAGCAAGAAAGGTTTGCTCACTGAGAATGGACCTTTTATTTTTGTATGTGTATGAGGCATACTGACATACATCAACTGGAAAACTGGGTGTAGGAGGCAATATTGGAGACTTGAAGAGAGAAGTTTTAGAACAGCCACCTTAGGAAGTGGGATACAGCACTGATCTGAGAAGAATAATGGACTGCTCTGCATCAGTGAGAACCCAGTTGAGCTTAGATAGCACAAATCTGTAGTGGACCCAGTCAGTCAGCACAGTTTCATGACTTTCTCTAGCTCTGCTCAGTAGAAAATGAGTAGGCACAAAGGAGGAAGGTAGGAGTAATACACTGTCTTTAAAACAGTTTCAATTGAAAATTCCCACACCAAACACTACTACATTTTAAAGCAGTAGATTAAATAACGGGTTATAGAAGTTCACCCACGGGCAAAAGAAACTATGTTGGAAAAGTTACATTAGGCTTATTTCCCCTGAAAGTTCCTAGTTCACACTAGTTCATGTGCTTTTACATTAGCAGAAATTGTGCTATACTCCTGATAAAAAAAAATTTAGAAGAGATATTAAAGTTAAAATTTTTTAACTATAGTTTGTATCACCTATCTCTCAGTACAAAAAGTAATTTCTACTGCATATTTTAAGTGTTTATAAACATGGTGAGATAAACATAAAAACTAGATACTTAAAATTCATACATTTATTCAATATACCAGTTCTATTTGAGCTTTAGACAAAAAGACATATACCTAAATATAAACTTCCCTCTCCAGTTGGCTGGGGCATTCTTTAAACCTATTTTAAGTGTCTAATAATAATAAGCATTTATATAATGACTTAAGGTTTGCAAAGTGCTTTATAAATATTATCTCATTTTATCCTCAAAACAACCTAGGAGATGGATGCTATTATTATCTTCATTTTACAGAAGAAACTGAGGCAAACAGGTTAAATTATTTGTCAAAGGTCACACAGCTAGTAGCTAAGAGAAAGATGGACTTGGAATCTAGATCTGTGTTTAATTCCTCCCTGAGACCCTTATTAGATGCATTACCCTAGGCACGTCACTTAACAGCTCTCAGTCTCAGTTTCTTTATCTGTAAAATGAAGGTGGACTTCGAAGACAGATTCTAAGATCCCTTCCAGTTCAAAATCTATATGCCTTATAAATTCAGTTTTCCACATACAAACATACACACAAAAGACATCTGTGCAAAAAAAAAAAAAGACAAAAGTGAACAGGACAGGCAAAAATTAATCATAATCTGATGATTAAAAAAAAAAGCAGCCTGTTCTAAGAAAATTCAAAATTGAACTAATTTGCTCAGCTTACTTAAAAGGTTAGTGTTATACTGTACAAAAAAAAAAATACCTTTTCTTCAATTCTGGAAGAATTAGCTATGGTTATCTTAAGATATCCTAAGAATTAGAATCCAGAAAGCCATTATTCTCAATTGCATAATTTATTACTGTAGTCAATAAAACTGTAAATATTAAATATTTTAAATAATGTTGAAATTTCCACTTTCTTTTCAATAACAAAACTATCCTCAAGGATTGCCTTTTTTGCAATATTTCATACAGATACCTAAGAATGACAACCTTAAACGGAAGTCCCAAGTCCATTAAAAGTCAAATCCTGTTACAACACCAGAAGGTAATGAACTTCTCATTGTACTGAAATCTCCTTATTTGAATATTTTCTTAAAATAACTGGAATCTGGGAAGAAGTTTGAAAATATTTAAGATTTCTATTATTTTGTGTTCATTATAATGAGATCCAAACAACACATGAATCTTTTTTCTGCTATGGATGTTTTTAAAAGGTTTATATGCAAATAAAATACTGCAAATTCTATCGTTTTAAATACATAAGTTAATTATTTATTTTATTTATTTATATTATTTATTTATTGAAAAAAATAAGTTTATTATTTACTTCGAAGACAAAATAAACGGGCCAAATAAATTTACGATCAATTTAAAAGTCGTGATCCTATGACTTTAATTTTAATGCTGTGTAACCTCAAGGCAAGTCACAACCTCTCTCTGGATTTCAGTTTATCTGTCAAAAAGGAGGGGAGAGAAGATCATCTCTGAGGTCCATTTCAGCTCTATGATCCTTCCATTCCTTCTATGGAAGGACCAAGTCCATGATTCTCTGCTTCTGCTTTAATTCTGTAATATATGACCAGAACTGTCATGAAACCTCGCCAATTTTGTTCAAGTTTAATAGGTAAACTATGGACTTTTCCCACCTAATTGTTTGCCTGATTAAAAACCAAAAGGGGGGAGGGGGGAACCACAGAAATAGAGGTTGGACACGTCCTGCGTTTCTAACCAAGCCTTCCCTAAATTAGTCATTTCATGCATGAATTGCATACTTTGCCTCCATATTTATCTTACAATCAAGGGTTTTTAAGAGTGCTTAATAATCACCACCCCTTAGGCAATCATTCACCAACTAGGCTCCAAAGTAACCGATGTGCATAAGGAGTCTGGTTTCCAGATACGGATCCGGGCTTGGATAACCCGTCCTAAAAATTTCGGCCAATTTTCCAACAGAAAATCAGAGGAACGACTGCAGCAGGAACAGCCAGGTATTTTTCGGGAGTAAAATGCAATCAAGGAAACCAAAAGCCTCCCCGAAACCCCGCTGTCCGGGGCGCGGAAACTTTAATTTGGGGGTGCCCGCGACGGGAGGGTATCTGCAGACGGGGGCCAAGTGCACAGCTGCCCCGGCCGGCTCCCAGCCCGGGAGCCCCACGAGCCCCGGCCCAGGATCGCAGCGGCTCCCTGCGGGGAGTCCCGCCCCAGCCCCCGAACAAGGGGCCCCGCCAACCGGCAGGTGCCTCCTCCGGACGGGCACCCAGGATCCGGACAGGCGGGGCACACAAAGGCCCCCCGCCCCGCGCCCCGCGCCCCGCGCCCGCCGCCCGCACTCACAGGCTGCCCGAGCAGGAGGTGCACACGAAGGAACCCACGGTCATGTTCACGTAGGTGGGGCCCCGCTGGTCGCAGTCGAAGCACTTGCGGTTGTGCGCGAGGCCGGTCATGTCCCGCAGCATCTTCAGGTGCTTCTCCTCCTGCTTCCGCTTCGCGCTGGCCGCCATGGCCGCGGCGGCGAGGGGAGGGCGGGGAAGGGAGGGGAGGGAGCCGGGCGGCGCTGCGCCCGGACCCCGCACCGCGCACCGCCCGCCCGGCAGCCGCCGCGCTCAGGAAGCCGGCTCGGCCCGGCCTGGCGCGGCCCCGGTCCCGGCCCCGGCCCTAGGGCCGCCCCGCCGCAGACTCCGCCCGCGGCCTCGCTGGGCCACCCCGACACGCCGGCCAGCAGCGAGCGCCGACCCCGCTGCCGCCCCTGCCCCTGCCGCCGCCGCCGCCGCCGCCGCCGCCGCCGCCGCCACAGCCGCCGCCACCACCTTCCAGACTGCTCCTGAGGGGAAAAGACAAGGAAGGGGAACAGCCAAGAGGAGGCCCGCCCCGGGGCGGCCGCAGGCCAAGTGTCCGCCTGCGCCCTCTCCTGGACGGGAGGAGTCACTGCAGGCCGCGTGCGCGCACCGAGGAGGGGGCGTGCCCGGGCTTGGCGCCTTCCCTCAGCGAAGGCTCTCCAGAACGTCCTGCCTGGGTGCGTGCTGTCTGCCCAGAGGAGACGGTGAGCCAGCTGAGGGCAGCGGCCGGGGCTTCTGGGAGAACCTTCCTTTGTGCGCCCAGCACTTGGCTTGTTGTTGTTCAGTAGTGTCCCACACTCCCTGGCCCCATTTAGGGTTTTCTTGGCAAAGATGTGGTTTGCCATTTCCTTCTCCAGCTCATTTTACAGATGAGGAAACTGAGGCAAACAGGGTGAAGTGACTTGCACAAGGTCACCCAGCTAGTCAGTGTCTGAGGTCACATTTGAACTCAGGTTTTCCTGACTCCAGGTCTGGTGCTCTGTCCGCTGAGCCACCTAGTTGCCCCCTGACCCATAGTAGGTTCTTAATAAATAGCCCAATAAATGATTCGTCCTAACCCTCTCTCCTCCCTCCCTTCCTTCCTCTCTCACTTCCTTCCTTCTTTCCTTCTTCCCTCCCTTCCTTCCTTCCCTCTTTCCTTCTTTCTTTCTTCCCTCGCTTCCTTCCTTCCTTCCCTCTTTCTTCCTTCCTTCCTTCCTCCCTCCCTCCTTCCCTCCTTCCCTTCCTTGCCTCTTTCCTTCTTTCCTTCCTCTCTCCCTTCCTTTCTTCTCTCGTTCCTTCTTTCTTTCCTCCCTCCCTTCCTTCCCTCTTTCCTTCTTTCTTCCTTCCTTCCTCCCTCTCTCCTTCCCTCCTTCCCTTCCTTCCCCTCCTTCCCTCTTTCCTTCTTTTCTCCCTCCCTCCCTTCCTTCCCTCTTTCCTTCTTTCCTCACTCCCTCCCTTCCTTTCTTCCTGCTCAAAATCTATGCTTTATAGACATGGCACCATATACCAGTCATCTATTGTTAACCTTTGATTCCTCTCCCCCCCAACCCCCAACCAATGAGAAGTTCTATGGTTTTTACCTCTGGAATCTCTCTTCCATTTGGCCCCTCCATTTTATTCCCACCACACAGCCCTTAGCACCACCCGTATAAACCATTGCAGCAGCCTCTTGCCTGATCTTCTAAGCTCTTAGCCCAGTGCCTAGCAAGTGATTTAAATGCTGATTCTCTTCCCCCTTCATTCCTTCCTCCTCTACTGCTGTCTTTTAATTACTGCCAAATTAATCTCCTTTTTACTGCGTAGATCTGACGTCTCATTGGTTTACTCTTGGCTCCTGGATATGGTTTAAACTCAGCCTGGCATTTGAGGCCCCTGACAAATTGGAATCACCTTATCTTTTCAGCTTTGCCTTACCTTATGATTTCCTTTTTTCATGCCTTTTCTAATGCTTTCCCTGTGACTAGAGTGCCTCCCCTGCCACATTCTCCACCTGTTGTGACTCTCCAGGTCCTTTACGGCCAGGCTCAAATGCAATATCTTCGTGGAAACCTTTCTTGGTCCTCCATCAATCAGATAGACCTCACACAGCATCCGGTTTGCACCTCTCTTATGCACTTGCCATCTGTCATAGCATTTCAGATTTTGAAGGAACCTGAGGTCAGCTGTCTCATCCAATCTGAATAAGGAATAGGAGTTTCTGAATAGAAAACCCCTCTACAACCCCTGAACTTACCTGACAAGTTCATATCCAGCCTTTGCTTAAATACATCCCAAAGATCAGAAACTCATTACCTCCCAAAGCAATCTATTCTGTTTTTCTGCAACTATAAATGTTAGGAAGTTGTTTCTTTTTTTAAACTAAAGTCAGTCTTTGCTCCAATCTCTATCCCATGGGGCCAGCCAAAGCAAATGCACTATTTCTTCTACAAAAAAGTCCTCTAGATACTAAAAGATAGCTTTCATCTAGCACTCCAGATGTAGATTGGAGGCTCCACATTGGGGCTGGGCCTTATTTAATCATAGTGGGCCTTCCCACCAACCAACTCCTAGGACAATGTTCTGTATACAAAAAGTGCTTAATAAATGTTCACTGAAGTTGAAGCCCCAGGCTCCTGGTGGAAATGATTGACCAAATGCGTTACTACACCAAAATGTCACCTTTAGTTGAAAAGAAAAAGAAAAACTTGTAATAGGTCAAGGTGAGGAATTTAATTCTACCTAGGGATTCAACTACTCATGGAGCTTACCCAGGTAACTGGCACACAGACATCTCCACCCACAGATTAACCCAAAAAGATCCCAATTCAAACCTTTGTAAGTGTGTTCTATGTGCAAAACATTGTGCTGGAGACTACCAGAGAGGCAAAGATGAAAAAGATATTGCCTGCCTTCAAGAGAAGATGAGTGGACACCTTCACAAGTGACCATGATACAAAATAGAATGTGGCAAATCTTTAAGACAAGCCACCAGGGCTTACAACAGCTGCAAACAGTTGTTTAGGGTTTGGGGTTTTGTTTTTTTTTTTGTGGCAAAGAGGGAGAAAGGAAGGTGTTTTGAAACCACAGAGTTGAAATATGACACCTAGGTGCCTGTGTGACGTAGGGCAAGTCACTCTGCCATTCAGTTTCCTCATCTCTTTCTCACGCAGGACATTCCATATCCAGACTGCGCATTTGCACTGTGATAGCTCCCATGCCTTAAGCACTCTTCCCTCCTCATCTCTGCCTCCCTGTCTCTCTGGCTTCCTTCAAGATTCATCTCAAATCCCACCTTCTCCAGGACACCCTTCCCAGTCTATTTGCTCCTCTCCCTTCCCCTGTGAGTGCATTCCCTCTCAGATTACCTTCTATGTATATATCTCGTATGTGTCTAATTATTTGTGTGTTGGTACTCTCTTTAGCATGTGAGAGTGGGGACTTTATTTTTCCCTTGCTTTGTATCCCCAGTGCCTATCACAGAGCCTGGCTCATAGGAAATGTTTAATCAATGCTTGTTGAATCACCAACTGATTTCAAGACAAATGCCTATTTCATTAACCACAAAGGGAATACTATATTGACTCCACACATGGGATGGATACAGGCCAGCCTAGCCTTACTTGCTTTTTTTGACAGAATAACTCAATTGGTAGATGAGAGGAATACGGTAGATCTCAGTAAGCCAGATTTTAGCAAAGCATTTAACAAATTTTCTCATGTTAGTACTGTGGGAAAGGAGAGATGTAGCATAGACAGTAGTGCAGTTAGGTTTGCTCACAACTGGCTAATCATCAATGGTCCCGTATCCCCTTGGAAGGAGATTTCCCATGGAGCATCCCAGGATTCTGTTCTTGGCCCTGCTGCATTTTTATCAATGACTTGGATGGCAAGCTTATCAGGTTTTCAGATGACATAAAGCTGAGAGAAATAGCTAGCACCTCAGTTGATAGATTTAGGATTCACAAAGATCTTAAATGTGAGGCAGCTAGGTAGATGGTGCAGTGGATAAAAAACTGGACTTGAGTCAAAGAGAACTAAATTCTAATCTTGCCTCATGCCCCTATTACCTATATGACTCTGGGCAAACCACTTCACGTCTATCTGCCTTGGTTTCCTCATCTGTAAAATGGAGATAATAACAGCACCTAGCTCCTAGTACTGAGAGGATCAAGTGAGTTAATATTTGTAAATCACTCTGCAAATCTAAAAGTGTGGTATAAATGCTAGCTATTATTATTGCTAAATGAAAAGAACATTGGGCTGAATCTAATAGGATGAGATTTAATAGAGGTAAATATAAAAATCCCATAGATTCAAAAGGTCAATTTCACAAGTATAGGATAGGGGAAGCCTGGTTCAACAGCAGAACACCTGGGATCCCAGATGGCTAAAGGAAAGTTCAACATAAATCAACAGTCTAATGCAGAAACCAAGAAAACTAATGTAGACTTAGGTTGAATTAAGAGCAGCATAGCATCCAGCAATTTGAATGCAGGAGTCCTACTATGTACTGCCTGTCAGAATACATCTGAGTTATGATGTTCACTTTTGAGTATCACATTTTAGAAAAGACACGGATAAGAAAATGATCAGTATGGTAAAGGGGCTTCAGTCCACGTCGTATGAAGATAATTTGAAATTTAACTAGGAAAAAAGGAACATAGGAAAGAATAATGACTGTCTTTAAGATACTCAGGCTCCCTGGGCCCAAGGATTCTCATCTGCAAAATGAAGAGATCAAACCAACAGATGCTGAGGTCCCTTTGAGCGCCAGATTTGTGAACCCATCATTCTAAGTATTTGAAAGGCTGTTCCATGACAGGCGAAGTAGACTCATTCTTTTTGACCCCAGAGAACAGGTCTAGGAACATCTGGTAGGAGCTGCAAAGCGGCGGGTTTAGACTTGATAAAAGAAAAGACTTTCTAACAATTAGAGCTACCCAAAAAATGGAACCAACTACTTTGAAAACTCGGGAGTTCCATCTCACTTGAGGTCCTCAAGCAAAGGCTAGACAAGTTTTTGCCAGGAATGCTGTAGAGGGGATCCTTTATCATGTAAACATTGAAATAAGGGAACACTAACCACTCTTCCAACATTGATGTTCTGTGACTGATTTCCACGGGAGGTGAACATGTCAGAAGTATAAAAGGACTGTGAAATTTTAGGTAGAATTGAAGGGATAGTACAACTTCTCCTCAGTGATATGGGGTTAG